CCTGCCACAACGCCCAGCTATCTTTGTTGTTGTTGTTGTTGTAGTTTGGCTGGGGCCGGGTTCAAACCCGCCACCCTCAGAATATGGGGCCAGTGCCCTACCCACTGAGCAACAGGTGCCACCCTCAATTTAATTTTTACTTTTATAATCATATCCATAGCATTGTTCTACAAAACATTTCAGAAACTAAAAAGAGTTAATTTTTTAGGCTTAATATTCTAAACCAGTGACTCTCCTGAACCCCTGAAATCACATAAATTTTATATATTATGAAAGTTTTAGGTAGCTCTGTTTTCTTGAATGGAAGTGGGGGGAGAGCAGGCTTAATGAAAAGTATGATAAAGTTAATATTTCTAAAGGCTTATTAAAGATGCGGTGAACGTTAAAGAAAAGTGAATTAAGAGGTGCTTATTAAGCATTTATAATGCAAAATGAAGTGATAGTGTTGATTTTTATCACTAACAGAATGAAAGCTTCCAGAGATTTCAAAAACAGAAGTTTATTCACAAAATACATTAAAAAGGTTTGACAAAAGATACTACCACAAATCCCCCACAATCTAGTACATCTCACTATCACTTATCACTGTCAATAACCAAAAGTATCACTAATTCAAATCCTCTATTTTAAGTAACAAAGAGGTCTTCATAAATCATAGTATTTATTTTATAAGTTAAGTTGCTGATAACAGATACCAAAATCTAATCCAACAGTGCCATTTTGATATTTTATAAAATAATATTTTGTGCAAAAATTTACTAACACTGAAATTTCTCAAAATGTATTTATGAGAGCTAATTCATAGTAGTTTTTCCAAGGCATACTATTTTAAGCCAAATGAAGTGATTCCTACCACAACATTATAAACACTAAAAGATATGGAACTTTGTGGATGTAGAATAAATTCAGCATGTGTTTAAATACAGGCAACTATTGAGTTTGTGTTTGAAGTGGCAGGAGCGCATGGGAGCTGGCCCTGAAGATAGTGGCACTGCTGTGCAGCGGGAAGCCTGTATCCAGCCGGTCAGCAAACATACCCAGGTTTGCATCTGGGGCCTTTTTTCTTCAGCCAAATCTGACTTTATTCATTGAGGGCAAGAGGATCTTAGAATATCTCTTAAATTCTATGAGTGTTCCTCTGGAAGGCTTCAAGAACAAAGTCTTCAGATCAAATTTTATGGAGTTTTGTAACAATCAGTACTCTCACCATTTGGTCAAATGAACTGCAGATGCAAAGACCCCTTTTATCTGGACTCCAGTCCAAACTTGAAATGGGCTGGGTGGACAGTGTGACATTCTGCAGAAGGCTGACAGAACCCGCAACTCCCATCTCTACTCCCTCAGAATCTTTCTTTGACCGATGGATAGGGTATTCGCTGAAAATAAGATCAAAGAGGTTAGAGGACATAAATCTTAGAATCTTAGAATTCACCATTTTTTTTCATTATTTATACTTTAATGACTCTATTTTTATTTCTCAGTTTATTATCAAAAGTAATAAATACTTACAGAATCTTTTTAATGTTGACTTGTATGCAAATAAAGAGACACAATTTCAATCTCAACGCTATCCCCCAAACATTTCATAAAAAGAGTTCTACTAAGAACTTCTAAATATCACTTCTGTTCAGCATATATTTGTACTTTCTCTTTTAATATAGAAGTTCTAGGTTGATGATGCACTTTTAAATACATTTTCTTGGTGCTTTTGACAATCTTTTATTGTAATTTTTCTCTAGATTTGGATTGCTAGACAGCAGAGGCAAACGCAACGTATAAAAGCAATAGCTGTAACACTTGGAGAACCCCGTCTAAACACTTCTAGAATGGAGAACTGACACTGGTTTCTAACCCTAAAGCTTCATTATGTAAATCCAGACCTAAGGACCTTCTGTGTACCATTTCCATAGGAAGGCACCACTGGGTGGAAATTTTAGATCTAAACATTATTGCTTCAAAAGAAACAAAAAAAAAGAAGAGCAATTCTGAGAACATCTGATTTTTTTCAGCTGAAAATATAAATTTTTAAAGTAAGAAGAGCTGAAGGTTAACAACAAAATACGAGTTGGTTTAGACTGGGGGGATGAAACACTCTCCCCCTGTGGAGATGTATCCTACTGAAATACAGATGTATCCTCCTGAAATATCCTCCTCAGAAGCCCTTTTAAAACCTATTAGGTTAAGTATTCCACGTTGTAGATGAAATCATCACATTGTACCCCACACATGTATACAGTTATTATTTAATAAAAAATTTAAAAAATTTACAAACAAAAAAAAAATCTATCAGGGGCTTGGTATCTACAGCTCAGTTGAGCAGGGCGCCAGCTACATACACTGAGGCTGGCAAGTTCAAGCCCAGCCCAGGCCTGCTAAACAACAACGACAATTGCAACCAAATAAATAGCCGGGCATTGTGGTGGGCACCTATAGTCCCAGCTACTCGGGAGGCTGAGGCAAGAGAACCACTTAAGCCTAAGGGTTTGAGGTTGCTGTGAGCTGTGATGCCAGGGCACTCTACCAAGGGCAACATAGTGAGACTCTGTCTCAAAAAAAAAAAAATCTATTAGGTATCAATTATGACACTACCTTTATTTCAAAAATGCTAATAAAGGTCAAGCTTTTTTTTTTTTTT